TAAACACATGGGACTACATTAAATTAAAAAGCCCCTGCACAGCAAAAGAAACCGTCAACAAAATAAAAAGGCAACCAATTGAATGGGAGAAGATATTTGAAATATTTTCAATAAGGGGTTAATACCCAAAATATGTAAAGAACTCATACAATGTTTCAATAAAAAAAACCTGATTAAAACATGGGCAGAAAATTTGAATAGACATTTTTCCAAGGAAGATATACAGTTGGCCAACAGACATATAAAGAGCTCTTCAATATCATTAATTATTAGGGTAATGAAAATCAAAACCACAATGAAATATTACCTCAAACCTTTTAGAATGGTTATGATCAAGAAGAAATAGCAAGCCTTGGTAGAGAAAAGGGGCCTCTCAGGCATGGTTGGTTGGGAATGTAAATTGGTACAGCCACTATGGAAAACAGTTTCTCCAAAAATTAAAAATAAAACTACCATATAATCCAGCTATTCCACTTCTGGGTATTTATCTGAAAGATATGAAAACCCTAATTCAAAAAGGTATATGTATCCTGTGTTCACTATAGCATTATTTATAATAGCTAAGATATGGAAGCAAACTAAGCGGTCATCAGTCAGTGAGTGGATAAAGAAGATATGGCACCTATATGGTGTGTGTGGGGGGTGTGTATGTAAGATGTGGTATACACATAATGGAATACTACATGGCCATAAATAAGATGAAATATTGCTATTTGCAACACCATGGATGGACCTTAAGGGTATTATGCTAAATAAAATACATCAGAATTAAAAACAAAAATTATATGATTTCACTCATATGTGGAATATTTTTTTAAAAAGGAAAGAAAGCAATGAACTAACCAAAACAAAACAAAAACAAGTTCACAGATACAGACAACGGATTGGTGGTTACCAGAGAAAAGGGGGTTAAGGGAAAGGCAAAATGGATAAAGGTGGTCAAATGTATGATGAAGAATGAAAAGGAGACTTTTGGTGGTATTGAATACAGATATCTATCTATCTATCTATCTATCTATCTATCTATGTATGTATGTATGTATGTATGTATGTATGTATCTATCTATCTATCTATCTATCTATCTATCTATCTATCTATCTATCTATCTATGTATGTATGTATCTATCTATCTATCTATCTAAAAGCCTAAGTGACCGTTATGACCCGATGACTGGCTGGTAGCTATGATGCACACTGACCACCAGAGGGCAGACGCTCAAAGCAGGAGCTGCCCCTGATGGTCAGTGTGCTCCCACAGCCAACCTTCTGCAGCCAGCCAACCACCCACAATCCCTCCCCCTGGCTGGCCAACCTCCCAAGGCTCATTCCCCCGGACCGGCCAACCTCCTACAGTCCCTCCCCTCTGCCAAGCAGCCCCGATCTGCCCTGATCGCTGGCCAGGCCAAGGGACCCCACCCGTGCATGAATTCGTGCACCTGGCCTCTAGTTGAATTATAATGCAGAACTGAAACTTGTGTAATGTTATAAACCAATAAATTTACCTCATTTAAAATTCTGAGTAAAGTAAAACATTATCACATCCTACAACTGTCTTTGTTTTTCTGTATCTAAAAATTATCTGTGATTGTCATTATTAGTTTAATTACTAATTTACCTTTTACTCCCTGTTCTTATTATTCTGTATCAATTTTTTTCTGGGAATTTGAGAAGAAATACTGCAGTTACAATTCACAGTCAAATACTTTTGCATTTTAAAATTTTTATAAACAATGGGTGAATAATTTTGTTTGGATCCTACAACCATTTTTAAAGTACAGTTTTGTTTTGTTTTTTAGCTTCCAGTAGGCTCAGACTTTCAGGAGGTTAATCATGGATCAAGTCATTCCATGTCAGAAGAAGAGGCCTAAATTGATTATGTAAAAAGGTTGTGCTTTGATATGCACTACTGCTGACCTGTGAATTGTAATTTTTCATATGCATTTATAAGCATTTTAATAGCAAAATTACTAAGGGCACCTCAGTGGTAGTTTCCTTTTTAAATCAATATTCTCACAAAGAGCCTGAGCATATGATTCTTGTCACAAACACTTAGTGCACGTGATTCATTAAAGAGCTGACACTTACTTTAAACAAAAAGGATTAAGACCAGAATGTCTTATATTTTACAGTAGAGCTACTATGTTGATATTTTGAAGCATTTCAATTTTAAAAGGATCTTGACCAACTAAGAGATGATTCAATAAATGACATTGATATAGAGAGAGAATGATTACATTTATAAAGCACTTAGTCTTCTTTGTCTTCTTAACTTTTTAAAAATTTAGACATAATAAAAATATAACAGATTTTTTTTAAACATGTCATGTGAATTACACATTAAAGAATGAAGTCCAAAATGTAAACATTTCACTGCTCATTCACATATAATGTATATACAGCAGTAGTTAGCTGACTCGGCATTTTATGTCAATGACTTGGCATGCTGTCTTTTCCCAATGTGTCCCAGATGTTATCTAAAGTTCTGAGCATGTATTAAAAATGTGTACACATGGATGTGCATAAGTGTGTTCAGGAGGGAGGAAATCAAACATTGGCATTCATACTTTAATAAAAACTGCTGTTTTGACCAAATGAAAGTTTACTGTTATTATAAAAATTTAAATGGTGAGCATTTATAAAATGCATAGTGCCTTATGGCCTTTAAATCTAACAGCTGACGACATAAATTTTCTGGATGATGATCAAGAACATGTTGATGCAGCTGTTGCCATAGAAAGACAGGCTGAAGCATCTACTTCAGCTTCAAGTAGTTGAGAGTGAGTATGGCTCTTTTCTTTAAATGAGTACCAGTGGCCTGTGATTTTTAATCATGAGTACCTAAAGCCCAGATCTCCAGTGAAAACAAAATCTAATTTATACTCTTATGGGGCAGGAAGAAGATATTTTTCAACTGCACAAATAAATAGCGAACTCACATACTGAAAGGCATATTTCTAAAAGTGAATAGTGTTTCAGAAAATCTGTCCCAAAACATCCAGATCTGCATTGAGCAGTATACATGTGCCTATAGTATAACTCTACCGTAAGTCTCCAATGTACTTTCTAACTCATTTGACCAAGTGCTACCTCTCCATCTTGTACTTGGGGGCCCTTCCTGTCAAAGCCTGGGAAGCTTTTTACATTGTGAGATGGTTAGAAATTTCTTTATTGCTGGGACAATATCAGTAATAATTATCCAACAACCAATATTAAAAAGGATTTAGGGTTTCTGTTAGTTTTATTACAGTACCTACTCTGTTTTATAAGTGGAAAACTAAGATGATAAAATCTGGTATCATACAATTTATGCTTACATCCATCCTTCAACATTAAGAGAATTTCCTAGTTGATGTGTAAGCTGCAGATGCATTTTACTTCTCATATTTATGTGTTTTTTTCAACTTTGCAGTGAGAATTACTTTACTCTAAAACCTACATGCTATGGAAATAGAATAGCTCCTTTATTTTTTCTCTTTCATCTAAAGGAGACAAAACAACTTATGTTTTAATTTAGAATCTTACAGTACAGCCCTTCTTTTTTATTGTGGTTTTATAACTTTGCATTAGTAACAGACATCCTTTATTTTCCGTCTATGGAAATACATTATGTCATTTTTAAATGTTTTTCTTCTATGTGTTTGCATGTTATGGATATATTTATTTACAAAAATAATTTTGTATCTTTAAAAAAATTCATGTTGGAAACATAGTACATAGAAATAAAAATGTTAAACAAAAGTATGCAAACCACCAAGATAGTTCACGATGGTACAGTCTAATTCCACTTGCCCTTCCAATGACCTTAGCTGAATTCTAATCCTTTTCTAATACTGTCCTACTGTCCCTCAAAATTGGATTCACTTGTCTTTCTCATTAGTTGCTGAAGATTTCCTGCCACCAGGAACTTTGGTCACCTAAACAAAAGGAAGTACAACCTGCATCTAAATTCAATTGCAGAACTCAGCTTTCTTTTACAAATGCTATGCATTTGAATTTATTAAGATGATATGGTCTGTTTAGAACATGTCCATCATAATAAAACTCAATAGAAAATTAGTTAATGTTTTAGAAATAACTTTTTTTAAAAAATATATAGTTTTATTTATTTCAGAGAGGAAGGAAGAGGGAGAGAGAGATAGAAACATCCATGAGGAGAATCATTGATTGGCTGCCTCATGTACACCCCCTACTGGGGATCGAGCCCACAACTTGGGTAAGTGCCCTGACTGGGAATGGAACCATGACCTCCTGTTTCACAGGTTGATGCTCAACCACTGAGCCTCACCAGCCAGGCCAACAACTTCTTTAAGTAATAAAGGGCTTGTTATACATTTCATAGAACACTGGCCTGGGTGTAGAACCTGCTTGCAATAGATGCTGCAACTACTGGTCCTGGAAGCAGACAAGAGAGAGGTTTTCTTTCTCTTTTCCTTTTCTATATACCCAGCTCTGGGGTCACCCAGAAAAAGTCAGCTGCGGAGAGGGAGGCTGACTGGGTGAAATGCTGGGCCCAACTTCCCAGTGTAGCTCAAAGACTCACATTTGTTTTACATACTCTATTGGACTTCTAAATAAAATATTCTCTGAAGGAATACAGTTAAGGTTCTTAAAAAAATTTTTAAGTATTTGGAAACCACATTAGACGATTCCTTTCTAAATGCTGTTATGAGTTTATACCACTTTATTAAATCACACTGGGCTGAGATAAAATGATGGCTGCATTTAGATATTTCAGTATTAATAAAATGAGTAACAACATCAGGTCTGCATGCTTGTCCCTTGGATCCCAACTGCATTACACATTGCACGACGTAGGGACACTGTAATCATTAACTGATATTAATGAGATGTGCGACTATATAGCAGTGGCCCTGATCACATAAAGCACAAATAAGACACCCTAGGTATACCTTTATGACTGATAAAATAATGTTTAGATAGTTTATAAATGGTCTTTAACAACTGATGTTAACTAAATAGAATCCTTGGGATTTCATACCCTCGTGCTGGAATATTCAGGTGCCTTGCAGACTTAACAACCTCCTCAAACTTCTCCATACTTTCTTCAATAGAACAATTAATATTCTTCTTGCTAAAGGATTCAGATGCAGCACCAAAAACAGATATCTCTGTGGCCCCAGCAGCAACCTGAAAAACATAATTTAAAGGCAAAAGCTAATAAGTTTAAAACTACTCTATAAAGGCATACTTGTATTCTTTAACATCTGCCTTAGAATTTAAAATTACATTCCTCTCATATTGCCACATACTCTCTTTTGAAATGTAAAAATATTTTATAATAACAGAATAATTCCAGAAACCACAACACTCATAAATACATGAGGCACAGAAAACACAGTAATGATGTTCCAATATAATATTGCCTTTCCTAAATGACGTTACCCTCAGAAATATTTCACCTTAATTATGGAAAATACTAGCACCCAATAAAACCTCTTAATATCAATAGAAAACATAATTTTAGACCAATTATTAAAATAAAGTACAGTAAATGCTTTCCTTTTCTTCTCTTCTTACAGTCTAACAGAAAAACATTTCTCCAGTTCATCATTTAGATAATGTCCCAAATCTTCCCACCTATTTTTAAAAATACATGTTTTTTTTATTGATTTTAAAGAGGAAGGGAGAGAGAGATAGAAACATCAATGATGAGAGAGAATCACTGGTTGGCTGCCTCCTGCACACCTCCCACTGGAGATCGAACCCACAACCCAGGCATGTGCCCTGACTGGGAATTGAACTGTGACCTCCTGGTTCATGGGTTGATGCTCAATCACTCAACCACACTGGCCTGGCTCTTCCACCTCTTAACCTAGCTTCCAGTGGTTCATCCCTTGACTGCTACCACCATATTCTTCTGTGTCTAATGCCCAATCCTCTTGCCAGTCTTTAAATCCAACCAGTTAACCTAATCAATTTTTTTTGGTCCCTTTACCATCTTCACTCCTTCCCACAGGCTTCTCTAGTGACTTTTTTCAAATGTCAAGCCTCCTAGTTTTCCAGCTGAAATTTAAGACTTTCTATGAATGTATCTCTAGCATTGTGCCAAAATTTTCCTCTCTTTCTGATACCCTATTAATACATTAAGCACAATACATTCTGTCATCTTTCCTGTAATTTAAATTTTATACACACACACACACACACACACACACACACACACACACAGGCTTCCACTTTCCAAATAAATTTTTAAGCTCTAAAATTAAATTTATTGAACACTTACTATGTGCCAGTATTGTTGTTAGTACTTTGCATATCCTATTTCAAATCAACAATCTTGTTTACTGCATATTATTATACCGTTTTACAGTTGAGAAAACTGGAGACAAAGAAGCTAAATCACTAGCCCGAGGTCACAAAGCTATCAACACTCTGGAGCCTTGTTTTGAGCACAGGCTTGCCTCACGCCCAAGCCAACATTTGTTTCACTCCTTTACTTACTTACAAAAGCTATTACGGGATGTCCTTTCAGTATCTTTTCAAGGCAGATACATTCCCTGCTTTTTTTAGGCCCCAAAGACAGCAATATTTATAATTTCTTAAAATGCCTCTTTTTTCTTTACAATGTGACAAATCATTATATCAAATCAAACTAAAGTGGTTTTAACAAGACACACTAAGACCCACCACCTCAACTTTATGCAATGGAGTCCGAAATACAAAAGTGAAAAATAGCCATTAACATCAGAAACAGCTGCTGCGAAACTTTTACACTAAAGCTATGGAAGCGTAACACCTTAAGCCTTTCCTTAAAATTGCACTAATTCTTTTATGTGTAATTACTAAAGCTTTTGCATATAACTCCCTAAATTGCAGAGGGCTAGGAGGAAACAAGACAGAGAGGAACAGGAAGGCTGTGAGAGGTGGTTCCAATGAGAGCGACTGGCTTCAGCCAGAGGAGAGAACAGCAGCAGCAGAAAGCTGACCCCAAAAGTGGACAAGAGTAATCATTCACTACAATATTAGCAACTGCAATACTGTACTGAGAAATGGTTAGGGTATATTCCAGTCCTTATTTAAAAGGAATGCACAAAATATCTAAAAAATTCATCAAAATGGGTAACTGTATTTTTGTGTTTTGATTCCTTTGAATGGTTAACTTGGAAGAACCATTTATACAGAGCACTCTAATCCCTAATTGTTCCATGAGGTTACTAATCTCCAGGTATTCATGTGAATATATTAGCATAGTATTTATAAAGGATAACAAGTGAGGTACATTTGATGCCATTTTCACTTTGTAAGGACCTTTAAAATAATAAGACACTGATTTTCGAAAAATTAGTAGCATACTTACAGCACGGTGAAAACCCTGAAGATTAGGAGTAAGGACAGGATATCTAACTCCTGGATATTGACGAATGCCTTTCATCACTTCAGTGTGATCAGCCATCTTAAACACATAATAGTTATATGTAAATATATCACTCAATATTCTATGAAGCATGCTTTTAGTTTTTCAGGAAAATTATAATTGCATGCAATTAATTAATGTATATTCTATAAATCAATGTTTGAAATAACAAAACTATACCAATATCACTAAAAATATGTTGTTTTCAACGCCATAAATATAGAATACCTAGATCTGGGTTTAACTTAATTCATAAAGTTATTACAGCCCTAGCTGGTTTGGCTCAGTGGATAGAGCATCAAACCTCAAATTGAAGGGTTTTGGGTTCAATTCTGATCAAGGGCTTGAACCTCGGTTGGGCTGAGTGCAGGAAGCAACTAATCTATGTGTCTATCTCATATTGATGCTTCTCTCTCTCTCTCTGTCTTTCCGCCTCTCTTCCTTTCTCTCTAAAAAATACAATGGAAAAATATCCTTGGGTGAGGACTAACAAAAACAAAAAAACAAAAAAAAGTTATTACAAATGATCATGAATCCTAAATTCTACTATTTTCATTTACTGATTTTTATTCTCTTTCTTTCATTTCATAGACCAAGCCTCAAATACCCCTGAGATTGGGGAGAGTTTTAAAGACAATATGTTATGCATTTACCTTCCACATGAAAATTTTATGTCCAAATAATTTTCAGTGTATGAAATTTTATAATGCTTAGTACAGTGAAAATTACACATCTCTGTTAGGATAATTTAACAAGGCTGAGATACCAGTATATTGCATATATGTTTTATTTAGTAATATTCATATTGCTTTATGCTGTACTGTCATCAGATTACTGTGTGTTTTCATAATGCAAACAAAAAAAACACAATGGAGTATACAACAGGAAAATTTAATTTATCCTGCAAGACTTCATTTTTCTATATTTTCTATGACTCATAAAAATAATCAACCTTGAATTAAAATATCAAATTTACTAGTTTCCACAAAGTGTATAATTTAGCCACCTAGAACAATAATTGATGATCCAATCCCATAACCATCACATAGATAAATTACCACTGACATAATCCTGAGCTTCACACATGTATGGATAATAAATTATGGCATGAACAATAAACATGAGGAACAATATGTAAACAATGAAAATTATATGAAATGAGCATGGATAAAGCTGTGAAAACATATATACCAATCCAAAATTTGTATCTTCAATATCGGAATGGATGAGGGAAGGCTTGTGTTTTCTCTACAATACTGGTTTGTTGTAATGAACATGCATTGTTTTTCATTTAAAAGTGAAATAAAAGTAAAACAATCAAAGTATATTTTTTCTTAATATAACTACACTTTTAAAAATATGAATTTGTTATAATATTTACTCTTATTCTTCAATTGGTCTATTTGACTCTCAGTTAAATGCCAGTAGAATTAAATTTAATACTTTCAATGAATATAATTTGGAACAATTACATAAAAATTTAAAATTAAATATTTAGAGGCAAAAAGAGTACCTCTCATTGACTACCATCATGCCTTATTGACATGTAAGCTTTCATGCTTCATTCTTTCCATACGCATTTATTTATCTGAAATGTGATTCTTGCACACTTATTTCTTAGGGGTCACATGTACATAGGGATCATATCCCCACCACCTCATAGCTGCATCATTTACAACTATCCACTGTAGTCATCTCCATTGCATAAAAGCTAAGTCTCTCATTTCATTCTAAGTTGATTTAACTTTAATCCAGATGTTTATTGAGCACCTACTAGGTCTAAAGCCCTATGGTAGGCCCTGTGGGAAATATAAATACAGAAAAGTAAGGTCCTTGCACTGAATAATGCACAATATAGTGGGGGAGATAAAACAGATGCACATGGAAAGATAACAATCCAAAAGAATATAGTGGTTATAAATGAGAGCACAGATTATAAGATGTGGGTTTCTCACTGAGGGAGGCCATTGTGGGGAAATGAGCTGAGATGCTGTGAGAAAAGCTAAGCTTATGCAGGGAGGCCACATGAAGAGGCCCACATAGAGAGCAGTCAGCATCAGCATGACCCCCTAAATTTGTTATCCAAGGGCGATTTAGATGACTTTATCCTCCAGCATGTGAGTACCAGATGAGGCCCCATAAAGTGTGAACCAGAGACAACATGCCCTTCTATACTACTCTGCTCTAATTTCAATCCCCAGATTTTGTTAGTTTAACAAATGTTTATTTATACCACTAAGCTCTCAGGAAATTCATTACATAGCCAAAAAGCCTGAAACAATAAAAAAAAAATCAACAGGGCTGGAAAAGAGGAGGACAGGTGCAGAGATAAGAACCTGATGTTTGGCTAGAGAAGAGCCAGCCACTGTGATGTCTTTGAGTTAAGTTCCCATTACTCTAAAATTCCCAGATACTGTGAAAGGAATAGAAAGCCACGTGGAGTGGGTCTAATTAACAGGAGAAGCCTGGAACAAATGCAGTATTTTAGGAAGAGTAATCTGGGAGAGATGCAAAGGGCAGGCTAGAGAGTAGAGAGGCAATTTTCAGGCAATTTTGATAAGTTCTGTTGTAGAGAAATGGCACAGGGAATAGATTCCCCCCAAAAAAAACAGTGGCTACTAGTATAAGGCCATGGCTTTCCTTAAAAAATGTTGTCCTTGGTATTGTATAACCTTCTTTTCAAAATATCTTATGTTTGTGCATATTTCAACACAATTCTCGATTGCATCTTCATGAATTTAGCCTTTGTGCTAGTGTCACTCATTCTCTT